TTTTTTTTTTTTTGATAAACAGCATTACGGGACACGAGTTATAAGCGTGATAGGATAAAGGTTATGCGTACAGTGTGTACTAAAAAAATTGATTTAATTTGGTTTAAGAGATTTCCTGTTACCTTGTAAATCATAATTATGACGTTGTCGGATAGTACTTCACCGGAATGCCGTATGCGACAGGAAATGTACGCATATATCTATGAACACCCAATAGTGCAACAGGTGAGTGTCCAGTAGGTTCACTTATAAATGGATGCATTTCTAGTAGCAGTCTACGATTTTACTAATTTTTCAATAGAACAGGAGAAATAGAGAATGAGAGAGAGAACTGATTTCAGCTTTCTGGGTCCCTGAAAAAATAAAAAAAAATTTGCAGCTTTTGAGTAGTTATAATCGTACAAAGGGAACCGGAGGTATTATGGGTCGAACACTGCAAGACGTCGAAAATCGTGTGACTGATGCAGCCACGAAGGCTATGCCGTATTACGAATATTATGTACAACCGAGTGTAGATGCTGTTCATTCGGTTGTCTACAGAGGTGAGTTGCTTCTCTAAATTTTTGCATCGCATGCAAAATATTTTTGTGGAACTTAGTCCGCTAAAGCGTTACGTATTAACTTATTTGTCAACAAAACAGTCTCATTGTGGTGCATGTTAAGCACATGTATAAAAGACTTATTTTTGTCTACACTATGAGAATTCTCGCAAAGTAGTTTCGATTACCGATGTTCAAGTTTTTTAAGGAGTTGAAAATACTAAACGCGTTGTCGATGTTACCAAATCAACGGCAGTTACCACAACCACGATCGGTATTGGTGCGGCAGTAGTTGTTTCCCAGCTAATGATATCGTTAGGATTAGCAGGTACAAACTGGCTAATTGACAGTGCTGTTGCCGTTAGACAGGCTGGAGGGAATGCAGTTGAAAGAATCAGAGTTAGTAACTTCGAAATCTTGTGTAATATTTCATCATTGGAATTGGTTTATCTGATGTTTATAATTTTTCATAATTCTGTTTAACTGTTTCATTAAAAATTTGATTTCAGTATGCAAATAAAGATGCTGTTAAATTTAGCCGGTTTTCCTGCAACCCCCCTTTTCAAATAAACTGTTTTTACTTGTTACTGCGTAGGCTTGATTTTAGGAGACAGAAAAAGTACTGGAGGACCGTTTTCGCAACTATGTCGGAAGAGCCCATGATTTAGCACAGGTATCCTGTGAAGACCTCAACAACAGAAGTGAAACTGAACACTATTTTCATTCAGAATCTTTTTGTTTTTTTGTTTTGACACTTACAGGTACCTATTTCTAAGCTCACGGATCAGGCCAATATTTTTTTGGATGTTGCTAATAACGTTATGGATCGCCTTCTTGGGATAGAGGGTGCACCCGACCCAATAGACTCCCCAATAGGTACTCGTTTGTACCGTATGGTGTCACGGTTCTCGCAAGTGCTACAAAGCAGAGCTCACGACAACTTAATCGACCCGGTGGCGAACCAGTTACATATCACTATGCAGCAGCTCAATTCGTATATGAACCTGGTGTGCTTCAAATTTCAGTAGTTTAGGACACGAAATAATCTTTCACTTAAATTTACTTTAAAAATTTTAAGATTGCTTTAATAATATAATTTGCTTTTACTAAGACAACGTTAAAAACTTCTGGTTCTACCTTCCATGAGGCTACTATGACGAAAAAAGTTACCGGGTTCCTTGCTTTTGTTTGTAGGTAGACTATGTTCACCAGCGCAGGGAATGGGTTTTCCAACGTATTGAAGGGATGCAAACTTCTGTAAATGAAATGAAAACAAATATTGAAGCTCAGGCAAGTAAACTAATGAACCGGCCAGAGCTTGTGTTGATGCAGTCTGTACGTACTACCTCGCAAAGTGTTATTGAAAACGTTAATGCACTAAAGGAAAGAGGAGCACAAGTAAGTTTCATGTTTAAAAGAAAATTTGCATGTTGTTAAAGACTGAGTCTTTTACCATTTATGGTCGTAGGTTAAAACTTGATTTTCTTATTGCCTGTCATTATAGCTTCTTGGCGAGAACGCTGTCTCAAAGCTTGACAATGTCGCCTCTTACCTGCAACAGTTAGAAGATTCATTTGCAGAAGCAAATAACCTGTACGAGTTGAGAGATGAGGTTGCATTTCAATCTACTTTTGACTGAAAAAGAAATGAGCTTTTTGTTACTCGTAAATGCTATAGAATTAACGCAAGATATTTGAGCTTAAAAAAGATTTTTCAAGAAGACGAATCTAATTACAGTTGTTTAGCAGTTATTTTGATATATGTTCCAACAACTTGCTTAAGCCAAAGTAGCTGTTGTAAACCTAGTTACCTCCAAAGCAGAAAAGAGACTTGTTTGAAGCGCAGGCGATTAGATGGATTTCTAAAATTTTCTATATGCACAGTTATGGCTGATTTCCAGGTTTTGGCAGAGGCACGTGCAAAGATGGCCGACTTCCTCAACTGGACATCCAGTTTACTGGTACGTAAAAGTTCTTCTAATGACGCGGATTTGCCCAAAACTTGCACCTCCCAATGTTCTACACACTGCTGCGTTGTAGGGGATGTTGATAAGGAAGAAAGTCGAAACCTCCCCAATCTAAAAAGCTGCGAACTTAACTCTACTAATAACATAGTGAGTGAGGGCAGATCAGATGACTCTCATTCAGAAGGGTCTACGGATACTGGCACTTCGGAATAGCCATAAAGTAGGCTCAAAGATTATGCACTGCAGGACCCTGTCTCTGTTGGATTCTCTTTAATTCTTTGAGACTTAATTTTTCCTTTTTAAATGCTTATTCTACTACTTTCGGAGCTGAAGCAGGCTTTCCCAGTTTTTGAGGTTGGGTGGTCTCATCTGATTGAACAGCTCATTCCTTGCACAAGAAATCGACGTGAAATTTACAAAAATCATGTTTAAGTTCGCTCAGACTTCTAGCAGCGACAAAATTGACAAAATGGCGTGCACCTCTTCGTGCAATTATGCTCCTGCACCTTGTTTTTCATTGCTTTGTGTTTTTGAGAGCAGTTACTTTCTATCTCTAAACAAGTCTACAACTTCTTGATTTTCTTTTTCCCCGTTCCTAAACGTATTATAATGAGCCTCTTCCAAAATATTTCATTATCAAGATGTACTTTTTTAACTTTCAAAACGTAAGCTAAATCCAATGGTCACTTCCACAATTCGTTGGCATTCTTCCGGCATTCATCCCGGAAATTCTCTTAAAGACGCCTAGAAATTTCTCGGTTATTTCGAGGTGTTGATTGCCAATCGCTTTGCTCTCATTTCTCGATGGACCCAATAATCACTTTGTTGTATAGCAAATTTCGTTTAGGAATGACATTGTAATTCTGATTTATATGGGTCCTCGGTAACTGTTTTCCTTTTCAGTTCGTGTTTGTTTCTGTGCCGTTACTTTGAAACCTCACAGTTTTGTTGGTTTATTAAATAAAGTTTATGTAAGGTATAGGTAAGAAGCTACAGCAACCCAAAATACTTCTGCTTTCAAGCTTAGACCGATCACCGTCATAAGAGACGGCTGTTTACTCGGACTACTAAGAGAGGATGTTTGTCTAGTCGACTGTAAATTGTAAAGCAACCCAGTGATCCCCTTAATGCAACTAAACCACGTGTTTCAGCAGTTTTTTTACGCTTTGAGTGAGCTAGTTTAGGTGATAGATGTGGACGACTTGTGGATATTGGAACCAGACGACATAGATCTTGAGCGAGCACATTTTATTATACTTCCACCCCGTCAAAGAGACTCGAGATATGCTTAACGGGACTTGCGCCCTCATTTCGCGTTTCACCATTTGATAGTTTCTGGAAATTTTTTTCAGTAATAGGTAACTGTATTGTGTTAAGTCTTATACGGTTGAATTTCTTTACTCTGGATATATGGTAACATAAGTTCAGTAAGACTTTTGACAAACTACCACCAAAACTTCATCCTAAAGAACCTCAGAAAACTCATTTAAGGGCTGGAGGTATCGCCAATAGTGTTCAATTAAAATTCCACAAAGTAATACAGACACAGACACTGTTTTGTAGAAGGAAAACGAGGCTTGCTGTAAGGACACACATTACATAATAAGCATGCGAGTGGAGTAACAGGGAAAAGAAGCCTTGCTGTCCTAGGTTATGACGTGACGCAACCAACTGTCGTGGAGATGGATTAAGAAGACTCATCCAAACACAAGTTTCAATACTATAGCCAGCGTATTAAACCCTATTAGCGGAACTGAAAAAGTGATTAAAAGGCAACGCGTTAAAAACAGTTGATGTTATACAATTTGGCTTGAAATTGTTTTTATGCCATATTAAACAGAGAAGAAAAGTGGCACCCGAGATTGCCCTCAAACTTCCACAGCCAGCTGGTTTTGCCGCCCGACTTAAAAGACTGGAAATGATTAAGGGAAAACTTCACTCACCGTAAAGCCAAAGCACTCAAATGACTTTGAAAAAGCTGAAGTTTAGTGGTACTACGAGCAGGCCTATTGAGAAAATATTTGATAGTTTTTAGTTTTTTAAAAAAGTTGAACTGCTCCTCACTGGAGCAATAAGTGCAGCTCTGTAGTGAGCAACATAAAGTTACTCCAAATAATGAGGTACTTTAAAAGTTTTTATGAGTTAAATACTGTTTTCCTTGGCCCATGCACACTAGTAGAAGCATTAACCTCTCAAATGCGACTACTTCGATGGAAATGAATTGTCTGCTGCCCTACACCGTAACTCCTTCCGCTACACAAAGTGATTTACTCAAACAAAAATAATCAAATTTGGCTACGCCAAATACGGGACGATCTAAAGAAATCCAAAACTTAGGAACTATCTTTTTACACTTCCATGGCAACAAATTAACTCCACAAAATATAATTCCCTGCCCACTACGGTTTCGTAAACAAGTTTCAAATTCTTCAAATAGTTCCAAAACTTTAAATTATCAAAACCTGCACAGTTCAAAAAAGTCAATGCTGACTTGTTATCATCAGAAGTGATTTCGCTCTTTATTTCTTCAAACTCCAAACAGACAATAACCTCTCAGAACTGTAAATAAGGCATCCGAAACAGATGCCAACTAACTTCCAACGAACTGCTTTGTCACTACACTTTTAAGAATAACAGTTTGATAACAGACGAGTACTTGAATTCAGCCTCATTAAAAACTTCCATATCTATGATTGAAAGAGGCTGTTATTACTTCCCATATCAATTCTGCTTAATAAAAATTCAAGAAAATGAAAAAAGAAAAAGTTACAAGACGACGGAAACAGAAGATGACTATAAAATGCCAAGTCCTATGACCTTCCAAATCACTGTAATACCAAAGAATATCCAGGGCAAAATAAACTTTAAATTACTCGTTACGTTCGCTCCTCTTTGCAAAAAATGTTCACCTATGTAAACCTAAGCAAATGATGTCATTTTACAACTAGAAACAATATGCTAGTGAAAAAAATCAAAAATTTTGATATCTACTTTTAACAGAAACAATTAAAGAGCTGCACAAATCAACAAGTTCATCAAAAACTTTGCTGGGAATTAGTAAAACATTCTGTTCTTTCTCCTTCCTTTCGGAAGACTGAAAATAATTTTTATTAATAAAAGCTCACGAAAAATGAAAGCAAGAAACATGTCCGGAAACATGTTGCTTAGCACGACAGGGTCCTGCTGCAACGAAAAATAAACTTTAAACACCGTTTCTTTCAAAAACGATTATAAAGCGCTAAGTTCCGCTTAACATCAGTGTCGGACGGAAAAAGCTCAACAAGGAACTTAGGGCAATTTCGAAGTATAAAGACTATTTAGAACCAACTTATTAACAAATAAAAAAGGAAGATTTGATGTGGAAGCTCCAAAGTGCTGCAGGAAAATAATGTTTAATAAAGCTCATTATGAAAAACGGATGTAATAACCTACTTCTCATAACCGTCTGAATTGCCAGAATTAAATTTACGAACTGCTGCTTCACACTGCTCTGATACGGGGCTTCAAAAGAATTTGCTGGTGTTAATAAACCGATCTAGGTAACATAAATGTTTTGCAGACAGTTAAATATAAAGAGAGTTAACCAAATGATTGTCAGTATAACAAACTCGTGGCTCTCACAAAAAAGACTCCATAGCTGAATAGCATAAAATCAACTCCAATATCTCGCATTTCTACAATGCTATTAACAGACCGTATACCCTCCCAAAAACCTAGTTCTAACTATCCTTATTCGTGCAACTTTTAGAAATCGGGAACTTTACAAACGGCGAACCCGACTCAAAAGAACTTCAAGGCCGCTTAAGAAAAAACCTTACTTTCTTCAAAAACCTTTCTTTGTTCAGCACAGCAATTCCGTTCAGTATCAAAAGCGATGCTTCTAACAATCCATAAAAAGATAAAGGCATCCTGTAAAGCACATTCAAAGTGTTGAGTGAAAAAAATCGGTTGAAGCAGTATCAAACTTTCGAATAACCTCTTTTCAAAATACCATTGGAATAACGACGCAAATGAGTAGCTAAACCAGAAAAATAAAGTGAAGACCTTGATACAGCCGGAAGGAGAAACCTT